CTGCGCCATCTGCGGGGACAGGAGCTCGGGTGAGTGAGATTTGGGGCGAAAAACCGGGATTTTGGGCAAAAAATGGGAATTCGGGGGAAAAATGGGGGAAAAAAAGGGCATTTTTGGGGAAAAAATGGGGAAAAAGAGGGCAGAATGGGGATTTGGGGGTAAAGGAAGCGCCTCTGTGCCATCTGCGGGGACAGGAGCTCGGGTGAGTGGAGTTTGGGGCGAAAAACCGGGATTTTGGGCAAAAAATGGCAATTCGGGAGGAAAAAAAGGGATTTTTGGGGAAAAAATGGGAATTTTGGGGGGGAAATGGGGATTTGGGGGCAAAGAAAGCGCCTCTGTGCCATCTGTGGGGACAGGAGCTCGGGTGAGTGAGATTTGGGGCGAAAAACCGGGATTTTGGGCAAAAAATGGGAATTCGGGGGAAAAATGGGGGAAAAAAAGGGCATTTTTGGGGAAAAAATGGGGAAAAAAGAGGGAAGAATGGGGATTTGGGGGTAAAGGAAGTGCCTCTGTGCCATCTGTGGGGACAGGAGCTTGGGTGAGCGGGGTTTGGGGCGAAAAACCGGGATTTTGGGCAAAAAATGGCAATTCGGGAGGAAAAAAAGGGATTTTTGGGGAAAAAATGGGAATTTTGGGGGGGAAATGGGGATTTGGGGGCAAAGAAAGCGCCTCTGTGCCATCTGTGGGGACAGGAGCTCGGGTGAGTGAGATTTGGGGCAAAAACCAGGGATTTTGGGCAAAAAATGGTAAAAAACTGGAATTTGGGGGGGAAAAAGGGATTTTTTGGGGAAAAATGGGAATGTTGGAGGGAAAATGGGTATTTGGGGGGCAAAGGAAGCGCCTCTGCGCCATCTCTGGGGACAGGAGCTCGGGTGAGCAGGGTTTGGGGCGAAAAACGGGGATTTTGGGCAAAAAATGGGGAAAAAAATGGGAATTTGGGGGGAAAAATGGGGAAAAAGAAGGGACTTTTGGGGAGAAAATGGGGGAAAATGGGGATTTTGGGGGAAAAGAAAGCGCCTCTGCGCCATCTGTGGGGACAGGAGCTCGGGTGAGCAGGGTTTGGGGGGAAAAACCAGGATTTTGGGCAAAAAAGAGGAATTCGGGGGAAAATGGGGAAAAAATGGGATTTTTGTGGAAAATGGGAAAAAAGAGGGAAAAATGGGAATTTGGGGACAAAGGAAGTGGCTGTGCGCCATCTGCGGGGACAGGAGCTCGGCTGAGAGACACTTTTGGGGCGAAAAACCGGGATTTTGGGCAAAAAAAGGGAATTCGGGTGGAAAATGGGGGGAAAAAAGGGATTTTTGGGGAAGAAATGGGGAAAAAAGGGGATTTTGGGAGAAAAGAAAGTGCCTCTGCGCCATCTGCGGGGACAGCAGCTCGGGTGAGAGACACTTTTGGGGGGAAAAACGGGGTTTTGGGCAAAAAATGGGAATTTAGAGGGAAAATGGGGATTTGGGGGGAAAAATGGGAATTTGAGGAAAAAATGGGGGGAAAAAGAGGGAAAAATGGGGATTTGGGGAGCAAAAAAAGTGGCTGTGCGCCATCTGCGGGGACAGGAGCTGGGGTGAGCAAGATTTGGGTCAAAAAATGGGGATTTTGGGCAAAAAAATGGTAAAAAACTGGAATTTTTGGGGAAAAAGAGTAAAAAATGGGATTTTTGGGGAAAAAATTGGGAAAAATAGGGGAAAAAAGGGATTTGGGGGGCAAAGGAGACGGCTGTGCAGCATCTGCGGGGACAGGAGCTGGGGTGAGCAAGATTTGGGTCAAAAAATGGGGATTTTGGGAAAAAAAAGGTAAAAAACTGGAATTTGGGGGGAAAAAGGGTAAAAAATGGGATTTTTGGGGAAAAAATTGGGAAAAATAGGGGAAAAAAGGGATTTGGGGGGCAAAGGAGATGGCTGTGCAGCATCTGCGGGGACAGGAGCTCGGGTGAGCAAAATCTGGGGCAAAAAAATGGGATTTTGGGCAAAAAATGGGAATTCGGAGGGAAAAAATGGGAATTTGGGTGAAAAAATGGGGAAAAAAGAGGAAAAAATGGGAATTTGGGGGGCAGAGGAAGCGTTTGTGTGGCATCTGTGGGGACAGGAGCTTGGGTGGGGGAGATTTGGGGCAAAAAAACAGGATTTTGGGCAAAAAACGGGAATTTGGGAGAAAATGGGGAAAAAAATGGGATTTTGGGGGGAAAAATGGGGAAAAAAGGGGGAAAAATGGGAATTTGGGGGGCAAAAAAAGGTGGCTGTGCAGCATCTGCAGGGACAGGAGCTGTGGTGAGTGATATTTGGGGCAAAAAACAGGGGTTTTGGGCAAAAAATGGTAAAAAAATGGAATTTGGGGGGAGAAATGGGAATTTGGAGGGAAAAAGTGGGGGGAAAATGGGGATTTGGGGGCAAAAATGTGGCTGTGCAGCATCTGGGGGGACAGGCGCTCGGGTGAGCGGGATTTGGGGCAAAAAACGGCGATTTTGGGCAAAAAATGGGCAGAAAATGGGAATTTGAGCAAAAAACTGGGAGTCTTGGGCAGAAAAAATGGTGAAAAAAGGGGAATTTGGGGGTAAAAATGAAAATTTGGGAAAAAAGTGGGAGGAAAATGGGATTTGGGTGAAAAACAGGGGGAAAAGAGGAATTTGGGGGGAAAATGGGGAATTTTGGGTGGATTTTGTTCAAGCCTGGGCTGATTTTCACTCTGATTTTCTGGGGTCTTATTGGAATTTTTCTGGAATTCTGTGGGAATTCCCAATTCCAGGAAAACATTCCAGGTTTTCCAGCTGTGAGAGCTTTTCCCAGGTGGATTTTGGGTCAATTCCAGGTCGATTTTGGGTGGATTTTGCTGCGTTTTGGGCCAATTTTTTAATTTTTATGCCGATTTTTCGCATTTTTGCAGCGATTTTTTGGGATTCCACCCAAATTCCCTGGAATTCCCAATTCCAGGAGAACATTCTGTGGTTTCCACCTGTGAGGGTTCAGCCAGGTGGAATTTGGGTCGATTCTGGGTGAATTTTGTTCAATTTTGGGCCAATTTTTATTGATTTTGCCCCAATTTTTGCCATTTCTGGGCCGATTTTCGCCCTGATTTTTTTGGGATTTTGTCCCAATCTTTTTGGAATTCCCAATTCCAGGAGAACATTCCGGGGTTTCCACCTGTGAGGGTTCAGCCAGGTGGATTTTGGGTCAATTCTGGGTGAATTTTGGGTGGATTTCTGTCCATTCTTGGCCGATTTTCGCCATTTTTGCGCTGATCTTCACCATTTCTGGGCTGATTTTCGCCCCGATTTTTTTGGATTTCGTCTCAAATTCCCCAAAATTCCCAATTCCAGGCAAACACTCTAGGGCGTATTGAGCTGCGAGGGCTGCAGGGGCTTCTTCAGGGGCCTTGGGGTCAATTCTGGGGCCGTTTTGGGTCAATTTCAGTGGATTTTGCTCCATTTTGCGCCAATTTTTCTGATTTTTGTCCAAATTTTTTTGGGATTTCACCTGAATTCCATCAGAATTCCCAATTCCAGGAAAGCATTCTGGGGTTTCCACCTGTGAGGGTTCAGCCAGGTGGATTTTGGGTCGATTGTGGGTCAGTTTTGGGTGGATTTTCTTCAATTTTGGGCCGATTTTCGCCATTTTTTCTGCGATTTTCGCCGTTTCTGGGCCGATTTTCGCCCTGATTTTTTTTGATTTTCTCCCAAATTCCCCAAAATTTCCTTTTTGCAGGCAAGCACTACGGCATGTCGAGCTGCGAGGGCTGCAAGGGCTTCTTCAGGGGCCTTGGCGTCAAGTCTGGGGCCATTTTGGGCGGATTTTGTTCAATTTCGCGCCGATTTTCGCCGTTTCTGGGCCGATTTTCGCCGTTTCTGTGCCGATTTTGGCCCCGATTTTTTTGGATTTTGTCCCAAATTCCCCAAAATTTCCTTTTTGCAGGCAAGCACTATGTCGTGTCGAGCTGCGAGGGCTGCAAGGGCTTCTGCAGGGGCCTTGGGGTCAATTCTGGGGCCATTTTGGGCGGATTTTGTTCAATTTCGCGCCGATTTTCGCCGTTTCTGGGCCGATTTTCGCCGTTTCTGTGCCGATTTTGGCCCCGATTTTTTTGGATTTTGTCCCAAACTCCCTAAAAATTTCCTTTTTGCAGGCAAGCACTACGGCATGTCGAGCTGCGAGGGCTGCAAGGGCTTCTTCAGGGCACTTGGGGTCAATTCTGGGGCCATTTTGGGCGGATTTTGTTCAATTTCGCGCCGATTTTCGCCGTTTCTGGGCCGATTTTCGCCGTTTCTGTGCCGATTTTGGCCCCGATTTTTTTGGATTTTGTCCCAAATTCCCCAAAATTTCCTTTTTGCAGGCAAGCACTACGGCATGTCGAGCTGCGAGGGCTGCAAGGGCTTCTGCAGGGGCCTTGGGGTCAATTCTGGGGCCATTTTGGGCGGATTTTGTTCAATTTTGTGCCGATTTTCGCCATTTCTGTGCCGATTTTGGCCCCGATTTTTTTGGATTTTGTCCCAAATTCCCCAAAATTTCCTTTTTGCAGGCAAGCACTACGGCATGTCGAGCTGCGAGGGCTGCAAGGGCTTCTTCAAGCGCACGATCCGCAAGGACCTGACGTACACGTGCCGCGACAACCGCGAGTGCGTGGTGGACAAGCGGCAGCGCAACCGCTGCCAGTACTGCCGCTACCAGAAGTGCCTGGCCACGGGCATGAAGCGGGAGGGTGAGGCCAGCGGGGAGCCACAGGGGTTTGGGGAGAGAACGGGGCGGATTGGGCAAAAAACGGGGGGAAAATCGGCAAAAAAACGGGGAAAAACGGCAAAAAAATGGGGGAAAACGGCAAAAAACCGGAGAAAATCTGCAAAAAACGACAGAAAATGAAGGTTTTGGAGGTGAAATGGGGTTTGGGAGACTGGGAGGGATTGGGGGAAACTGGGAGGGGGGTTTGGGGAGAAAACGGGGTGGATTGGGCAAAAAACGGGGGGGATTGGGCAAAAAAACGGGGAAAATCGGCAAAAAAATGGGAAAAAAGGGCAAAAAACCGGAGAAAATCGGCAAAAAACGACAGAAAATGGAGGTTTTGGAGGTGAAAGGGGTGGGAAATGGAGGTGGGTGATACTTGGCGGTACTGGGAGCGGGGTTTGGGGAGAGAATGGGGCGGATTGGGCAAAAAACGGGGGAAATTGGGCAAAAAAACGGGGAAAATCGGCAAAAAAATGGGAAAAAAGGGCAAAAAACTGGAGAAAATCGGCAAAAAACGACAGAAAATGGAGGTTTTGGAGGTGAAAGGGGTGGGAAATGGAGGTGGGTGATACTTGGCGGTACTGGGAGCGGGGTTTGGGGAGAGAATGGGGCGGATTGGGCAAAAAACGGGGGGGAAATCGGTAAAAAACCGGGAAAAAACGGCAAAAAAACGGGGGAAAACGGCAAAAAAACGGGGGAAAACGACAAAAAATGGAGGTTTTGGAGGTGAAACGGGTGGGAAATGGAGGTTGGGGATACTGGGAGGGACTGGGAGCGGGGTTTGGGGAGAGAATGGGGCGGATTGGGCAAAAAACGGGGGGGAAATCGGTAAAAAAACGGGGGAAAACGGCAAAAAAACGGGGAAAAACGACAAAAAAATGGAGGTGAAATGGGTGGGAAATGGGGGTTTGGGATACTGGGAGGGACTGGGGAAAACGGGGAGGGGGTTTGGGGAGAAAACGGGGGGAATTGGGCAAAAAACGGGGGGGAAATCGGTAAAAAAACGGGGGAAAACGGCAAAAAAACGGGGAAAAACGACAAAAAAATGGAGGTGAAATGGGTGGGAAATGGGGGTTTGGGATACTGGGAGGGACTGGGGAAAACTGGGAGGGGGTTTGGGGAGAAAACGGGGGGAATTGGGCAAAAAACGGGGGGGGAATCGGTAAAAAAATGGGAAAAATCGGCAAAAATTGGGGAAAATCAGTAAAGAAATGGGGAAAATCGGCAAAAAATTATAGAAAATGGAGGTTTTGGAGGGGAAATGGGGTTTGGGAGACTGGGAGGAACTGGGAGCGGGGTTTGGGGAGAGAACGGGGGCAGTTGGGCAAAAAACGGGGGGGAAATCAGTAAAAAAATGGGAAAAATCGGCAAAAAACAGGGAAAAACGGCAAAAAACGGGGAAAATCTGCAAAAAACGACAAAAAGTTGAGATTTTGGAGGTGAAATGGGGGTTTGGATACTGGGAGGGACTGGGGTAAACTGGGAGGGGGGTTTGGGGAGAGAACGGGGGGAATTGGGCAAAAAACGGGGGGGAAATCGGTAAAAAAATGGGAAAAATCGGCAAAAAAAATGGGGAAAAATGACAAAAAATGGAGGTTTTTGGGGTGAAATGGGTGGGAAATGGGGGTTGGGGTACTGGGAGGGACTGGGGGAAACTGAGAAGGACTGGGAGAGCGGTTTGGGTGAAAAAATGGGGAAAAAGGGCAAAAAATGGGAAAAAATAGGCAAAAAATGGAGATTTTGGAGGTGAAATGGGTGGAAATGGGGATTTGGGGATTGGGACAAACTGGGAGGGGCTGAGCTGGGTTTTGGGGGTAAAAAAGGGATTTTGGGGGTTCCAGATTTGGGATTTCCATCCTGGATTTTGGGTTTCCCCGCAGCTCCCATCCCATTTTTCTCTGTTATTTTCCTGCTTTATTCCCTGGTTTTTCCCCATTTTTTCCCCATTTTTGTACATTTTTTAAAAATTTTCCACCTTTTTTCACCATTTTTTTCCTATTTTTCCATTTTTCCCACTTTTCCTGTTGTTCCCATCCCAAATTTGGCTTTTCCCACTGTTCCCATGCCATTATCCCCATTTTTCCCCATTTTCCTCCATTTTTCACCTTTTTTCTCCATTTTTTCCCTTTTTTCACCCTTTTATTTTCATTTTTTCCCATTTTCCCATTTTCCCAGTTCTTCCCATCACTCCCATCCCATTTCCCCATTTTTTCCTCATTTTTTGCCATTTTCCACCATTTTTCCCCCATTTTTTCCATTTTTTTGCCATTTTCCCACTGGTTTTCACCATTTTTCTACCATTTTTCTCCATTTTTTCCCATTTTTTCCCTGTTTTTCGCCATTTTCCCATTCTCCCTGTTGTTCCCTTCACTCCCATCCCATTTCCCCATTTTTTCCTCATTTTTTGCCATTTTCCCACCATTTTTTAACCTTTTTTTTCCATTTTTTTGCCATTTTTCCACCATTTTTGTCCCATTTTTTGCCATTTTTTCACTGTTTTTCCCCATTTTATCACCTTTTTCCCCATTTCCCCATTTTCCCTCACCATTTTGTAACCTTTTTTTTCCATTTTTTTTGCCATTTTTCCACCATTTTTGTCCCATTTTTTGCCATTTTTTCACTGTTTTTCCCCATTTTATCACCTTTTTCCCCATTTCCCCATTTTCCCTCTTCTTCCCATCACTCCCATCCCATTTCCCCATTTTTTCCTCATTTTTTGCCATTTTTCCACCGTTTTTCCCCCATTTTTTGCTGTTTTTTGCCATTTTCCCGTTCTTTTTCTCCATTTTTTTGCCATTTTTTCACAATTTTTCCCCATTTTTTCCTCATTTTTTCCCATTTTTCCACCGTTTTTCGCCGTTTTTCGCTGTTTTTTCCGATTTTTTCCCCGTTTTTGACCGTTTTTCCCGTTTTTTCCCCGTTTTCTGCCCCAGCGGTGCAGGAGGAGCGGCAGCGGGGCAAGGACAAGGAGGGGGACGGCGATTTCGGGGTGGCCCCAAACTGGGGGGGGCTCCCATCCCAAATTTCCCATTTTTTCCCCATTTTTCCCCATTTTTTCCCTGTTTTTTCCCAATTTTCCCATTTTCTCTATTCTTCCCATCACTCCCACCCCATTTCCCCATTTTTTCATCTTTTTTTGCCATTTCCCCCCGTTTTTCCACCGTTTTTCGCCGTTTTTTCACCATTTTTCCCCGTTTTTTCCCCGTTTTCTCCCCCAGCGGTGCAGGAGGAGCGGCAGCGGGGCAAGGACAAGGAGGGGGACGGCGATTTCGGGGTGGCCCCAAACTGGGGGGGGCTCCCATCCCAAATTTCCACTTTTTTCCCCATTTTTCCCCATTTTTTCCCATTTTTTCATATTTTTTTCCTGTTTTTTCCCCGTTTTTTCCCAATTTTCCCACTTTCCCTGTTGTTCCCATCACTCCCATCCCATTTTCCCCATTTTCCCCCATTATACCCCTTTTTCCCCCCGTTTTTTGCTGTTTTCCACCTTTTTTTCACCATTTTTACCATTTTTTCACAATTTCTTTTCCCTTTTTTTCCCTTTTTCCCATGTTCCCTCTTCTTCCCATCGCTCCCATCCCATTTCCCCATTTTTTCCTCTTTTTTTTGCCATTTTCCCCCCGTTTTTCCACCGTTTTTTGCCATTTTTTCCCCGTTTTTTCACCGTTTTTCACTGTTTTTCGCCGTTTTTTCACCGTTTTTCCCTGTTTTTTCTCGTTTTCTGCCCCAGCGGTGCAGGAGGAGCGGCAGCGGGGCAAGGACAAGGAGGGGGACGGCGATTTCGGGGTGGCCCCCAACGAGGAGATGCCAGTGGAGAAGCTTCTGGAAGCCGAGCTGGCCGTGGAGCCCAAGAGCGACGACGGCGCCGGCCCCGGCGGAGCCTCCGTGAGTCCCACCCCAATTTTGGGGCAATTTTCACCAATTTTGGGCAATCTGGGAGAGGGCACCAACCCCAGGATCAAAGGAGAATTCAGATAGCCCAAAATCCCCCAAAATCCCCGGCGAAATCGGCGAAAATTCCACCAAAATATTGGGAAATTCGGGCAAAAATCCTTAAAAATTCCCCCCAAAATCCTTGAAATTTTTTCCCCAAAATTCCTTGGAATTCCATTAAAAATCCTCAAAGATTTCCTCCAAAAGCCTCAAAAAATTTCCCCCAAATCCTTGAAAATTCAGGCAAAAAGCCTCAAAAACTTCTTCCAAAAGCCTTAAAAATTTTCTCCAAAATTCTGGCAAAAATCCTTGAAATTTTCCCCCAAAATCGTCAAAAATTTCCCCCAAAATCCTTAAAAATTCAGGCAAAAATCCTTGAAAATCTCCCCCAAAATCCTCAAAACTTCTGGCAAAGATCTTCAAAAATTTCCTCCAAAATGCTTAAAAATTTCCCCAAAATATTTCAAAATTCTGGAAAGAAACCTCAAAAATTTCCTGCAAAATCCTTGAAATTTTTCCCCAAAATTCTTGAAAATTCTGGCAAAAAGCCTCAAAATTTTCTCCCAAAATCCTTGAAAATTTCCTCTAAATCCTTGAAAGTTCTGGCAAAAATCTTCAAGAATTTCCTCCAAAATCCTTGAAATGTTTTCCCCAAAATTCCTTGGAATTGCTTTAAAAATCCTCAAAAATTTCCCCAAAGAACTGTGAAAAATTCTGGCAAAAATCCTCAAATATTTCCCCCCAAACCCTTGAAAATTCTGGCAAAAATCTTCAAGAATTTCTTCCAAAATCCTTAAAATTTCCCCAAAATACTTGAAAATTCTGGCATAAGCCTCAAAAATTCTGGCAAAAATCTTCAAAAATTTCTTCCAAAATCCTTAAAATTTCCCCAAAATACTTGAAAATTCTGGCATAAGCCTCAAAAATTCTGGCAAAAATCTTCAAAAATTTCTGCCAAAATCCTTAAAAAATTCCCCAAAATATTTCAAAATTCTGGAAAGAAACCTCAAAAATTTCCTCCAAAATCCTCAAAAAAATTCCGGCAAAAATCCTCAAAAATTTCCCCCAAATATTTCAAAATTCTGGAAAGGAACCTCAAAAACTTCCTCCAAAATCCTTGAAATTTTTCCCCAAAATTCCTTGGAATTGCTTTAAAAATCCTCAAAAATTTCCCCAAAGAACTGTGAAAAATTCTGGCAAAAATCCTCCAAAATGTTCCCCAGAATCCCTGGAAATTCCCGGAAAAGGCCTCAAAAATTCCCCCAAAATCCTTGAAAATTCTGGCAAAAATCTTCAAAAATTTCCCCCAAAATCCTCCAAAAAATTTTCCCCCAAATCCTCAAAAAGTCTGGCAAAAATCTTCAAAAATTTTCCCCAAAATTCTTGAAAACTCTGGCAAAAATCTTCAAAAATTTCTTCCAAAATCCTTAAAAATTCAGGCAAAAAACCTCAAAAATTTCTTCCAAAATCCTTAAAAATTCAGGCAAAAAACCTCAAAAAATTCTTCCAAAATCCTTAAAAATTTTCCCCAAAACCTTTCAAAAATCCTCAAAAATTCCATTAAAATCCTCAAAACTTCTGGAAAAATCTTTGAAAAATTCCCCAAAATCCCTTAAAATTCACCCAAAATTCTTCAAAATTCTGGAAAAAATCCTTGAAAATTTCCCTAAAATCTCTCAATATTCTGGAAAGAAATTCCTCAAAAATTTTCTCCAAAGTCCTTGAAAATTCCCCCAAAAATCGTTCAAAATTCTGGAAAAAATCCTTGGAAATTTTGCCCAAAATATTTGAAAATTCCCTCAAAATCCTTGAAAACTTTCCTGGAATTCCTTTAAAATTTTTCCCTCCAATTTTCCCTCAAAATTCTTCCAAAAATCCCTGAAGTTTTTCCCAAAAATTCCCAAAAACTTTTCCCTAAATCCCTGAAAATTCCCCCAAAATCCTGAATTTTGGGATTTCTCCAAATTCTCCCAATTTCAGTTATTTGAGGGTGGATTTTTGAGAATTTTGGGGGAATTTGGGGTGGATTTTTGGGAATTTTTGGGTGGATTTTTTGGATTTTTGGGATTTTTCGGAATTCCCTGATTTCCCCCAAATTGCCCCAATTTCAGCCTTTTTGGGGTGGATTTTTGGCAATTTTGGGAGAATTTGGGGTGGATTTTTGGGAATTCACAGCTCCAGAGATCCAAAATTTTGGAAATTCTCCAAAACCTTCCAGGAATTCCCAAAATTTGGGATTTTCCCACCAATTTCCCCATTTTTTGGGTGGATTTTTGCCATTTTTGGGCCGTTTTCCCCCATTTTTTCTCCGATCCCCGCCGGGTTTTTTCCGGAATTTCCCCCCTCAGGATCTCCAGGCGGGGTTGAATTTTTCCCATTTTTGGAGCCGACTTTCCCATTTTTGGGCCGTTCTTCCCTGTTTTTTCTCCGATCCCCGCGGGGTTTTTTCCGGAATTTCCCCCCTCGGGATCTCCAGGCTGGGTTGGGAATTCTGGGAATGCCAGGGGGGGTCTCAATTTGCCCCAAAATTTGGGATTTTCCCCCCAATTTCCCTATTTTTTGTCCAATTTCCACTTTTTTTGTCCAATTTTCCCCATTTTTGGGCCGTTTTTCCCCATTTTTTCTCCGATCCCCGCGGGGTTTTTTCCGGAATTTCCCCCCTCGGGATCCCCAGTCTGGGTTGGGAATTCTGGGAACAGCAGGGTGCTCTCAATTTACCCCAAAATTTGGGATTTTCCCCCAGTTTGCCCATTTTTGAGCCGATTTTTCCCATTTTTGGGCCGATTTTCGGGTGGATTTTCCCCATTTTTGGGCCGTTTTCCCCATTTTTTCTCCGATCCCCAACGGGTTTTTTCCGGCATTTCCCCCCTTGGGATCTCCAGGCTGGGTTGGGAATTCTGGGAATGTCAGGGGGGTCTCAATTTACCCCAAAATTTGGGATTTTCCCTATAATTTCCCCATTTTTGAGCCAATTTTAGGGCGGATATTCCCATTTTTGGGCCGTTTTCCCCGTTTTTTCTCCGATTCCCGCGGGGTTTTTTCCGGAATTTTCCCCCTCAGGATCCCCAGGCTGGGTTGGGAATTCTGGGAATGTCAGGGGGATCTCAATTTACCCCAAAATTTGGGATTTTCCCCCCATGTTTCCCCATTTTTTGGCTGATTTTTGGGCCGTTTTTGGGCCATTTCTTCCCATTTTTGGGTGGATTTTTGCCATTTTTGGGCAGATTTTCCCCATTTTTTCTCCGATTCCCGCGGGGTTTTTTCCGGAATTTTCCCCCTCGGGATCCCCAGGCGAGGTTGGGAATTCTGGGAATAGCAGGGTGCTCTCAATTTACCCCAAAATTTGGGATTTTCCCTATAATTTCCCCATTTTTGAGCCGATTTTAGGGCGGATTTTCCCCATTTTTGGGCCTTTTCCCCATTTTTTCTCCGATTCCCGCGGGGTTTTTTCCGGAATTTCCCCCCTCGGGATCCCCAGGCGGGGTTGGGAATTCTGGGAATAGCAGGGTGCTCTCAATTTACCCCAAAATTTGGGATTTCTCCCCCAATTCCCTCATTTTTGAGCCGATTTTTCCCATTTTTGGAGCCGATTTTCCCATTTTCGGGCCGTTTTTCCCCATTTTTTCTCCGATTCCCACGGGGTTTTTTCCGGCATTTCCCCCCTCGGGATCCCCAGGCGGGGTGGGGGGCTCTGGGCCTGCCGGGGGGGGTCTCAATTTGCCCCGAAATCGCCCCAAATTCAGCCCAATGACCCGGTGACCAACATCTGCCAGGCGGCCGACAAGCAGCTCTTCACCCTGGTGGAGTGGGCCAAGAGGGTCCCCCACTTCTCGGGGCTCCCCTTGGACGACCAGGTCATCCTGCTCCGTGCAGGTCAGCCGGGAAATTTGGGAATTTTGGGGAATTTTGGGCAAAATTTGGGGAAATTTGGGAGGTTTGGGGTGGATTTGGGGTGGTTATAGGGTGATTTGAAGGCGGCCGACAAGCAGCTCTTCACCCTGGCGGAGTGGGCCAAGAGGGTCCCCCACTTCTCGGGGCTCCCCTTGGACGACCAGGTCATCCTGCTCCGCGCAGGTCAGCCGGGAATCTGGGAAAATTTGGGAATTTTGGGGAATTTTGGGCAAAATTTGGGGAAATTTGGGAGGTTTGGGGTGGATTTGGGGTGGTTATAGGGTGATTTGAGGGGGTAAAATGGGAATTTGGGGGGGTTTTGGGGGGATGTTTTGGGATATTTGAGGGTCTGGAGGGGATTTTGGGGAATTTGAGGAATAAATTTGGGAATTTTGGGGAAGATTTTGGGATTTTTGGGGAGTTCAGGGTGGATTTGGGGAGGTTTGGGGCAGTTTCGGGGCAGTTTGGGGTGGGTTTGGGGGGGCTGCAGGGGCCATATCCCAAAACTCCCAAAATTTGTGAATTGCAGGCTGGAACGAGCTGCTGATGGCGTC